GTGGAGTTGGAGTGGAGTGGAGGTGGGGGTGGGTGAGTGAGGGAGTGAGGAGTGAGGGAGTGAGGGAGCGTACGCGCATGTCTGCGGAATGTAGCACTTTACGGCTCACATCTGCAAATTTTTAATTCAGGCAGGTACACAGAGCTGATCAGGCTCTGCTTCCAGCACAAGTGGGTAGCTTCGTTGAGTGAAGTTTCCGTGCTCTGCACCCCCCTGCTTACGAATCAAAACTCAAAGCAATAACTCCAAAAGGAACCTTGTGATTCCAAAGGTTACACACACACGCCCCCCCGAAGGGCGGCGTCCTTTTTGGTTTGAGGTTGGGACGGGTAAATGTCATCCCTTTAATAGGCGCGGGCAGGTTCCAATGAACCCAAAAAGTACTACGGTCGCTGTGACCACGTTGTGGCGTTAAGCCAGCTTGGACCGCTGCGGTCACGTAATGGCATAGAGCCAGCTTGGAGTTCAATAGTTCGTCAAGTCTTGGCAAGTAACTTTGGTATATATAAGCCTCCTGCTGTCCGCTTCGGACACCTACGTTCCCGGGCACGGGGAACAGCGACAACCCCCCGTTCAACGGGTCCACAGGGGCCACTCTGCGGGCTCACCCTGGCCTCTCACGAGGAGAGACACACTTATTGAAACGTGCGCTGACTCGAATGCCGCTCGCCACACGGCAACCTAGGGTTACCAAAGCCCTGAAGAGATCAGGAGAGGCCCAACGGAACCTATACAAAAGGAAGTGAGGCCAAAAGCGCAGTCCAACCCACGAACGCGGAGCGATCAGGGTGACGACGTACGTGCATGTCTGCGGAATGCAACTATAGCACTTTATGGCTCGCATCTGCAAATCTAAAATTTAAGCAGGTACACAGAACTGATCAGGCTCAGTAACACAGTAACACTCCAAAAGGAACCTTGTGACTCCAAAGGCTACACATTTCCAAGGTCCACGCAGTCGCTCGCCAGTGGATGACAACGATTGCGGTCACCAAAACAACGTACGCGAACGCAGCTCATACGATTGGGAAAGACAACAGAACAGTCAATGCTGGTAGCCACGTTTCATGGCAGGTTGGTTTGTGTTTGGCTGTGGGCAAGGCGTCGTTTGCGTGATAAGGCTGCTTTTTGGGCATGTCCTGACCAAGTGTCAATGTTTTGTGGGTTTCAATACGAGATCTCACCAAGAATAGGTCTTTGGCAAGCGCAATGAAATAGGCGCCTGTCGTGCTTCCTGGCAGGGTGTCTGGACCGTGTTGTTGAGTAAGAAAATTAGAAAAACAAGAATCTTCAAGGGGCACATGTTCTAAACGAAAGCAACCTATCTTCACAAGCCTTGGCTGGGTTGACCCCCAACATTGGTGTCACTTGCTTGTCCTCCATATCTTTGCGGGGTTCTTACTTGTTGCGCATCCTCACTCACTCACTCGCTCACTCACTCACTCACTCACTCACACACACTCACTCACTCACACTCACTCACTCACACTCACTCACTCACACTCATTCACTCACTCACTCACTCACTCACTCACTCACTCACACTCACACTCACTCACTCACTCTCACTCACTCACTCCCTCACTCCCTCACCCCTCACTCCCTCACTCCCTCGTCGCCCTGATCGCTCCGCGTTTGTTGGTTGGGTCTCTTGCGCTTTTGGCCTCACTTTCTTTTGTATAGGTTCCGTTGGGCCTCTCCTGATTTCTTCAGGATTTTGGTAACCCTAGGTTGCCGTGTGGCGAGCGGTGTTCGAATCAGTACGCATTTCAATAAGTGTGTGCGCATGGAGTCTTCCTGCCGACTTTTAGATCTGACCCTCTGGGTTGGCGCAGGATATTTTAACGTTCCAATTAATTTCGGCGCGGTCAGGAAGAGGACGTCGATAAACAGGAGCAACCCTGCAAGGGCTTCGGGACTCAGGAGATGACGGTAGCCAAGCTCGATCAGGAATCGGTGTCTCATAAAGGAGCGTGTCTTCAATTTCCCCGTTCACTTGGTAGACATAGTCCTGAATTTTGTTTATTTGTTAAACCTGCTCATCGCTTCTTCGATCACGTCCTGCTCTTTCTTCACTTCGCGTCGGTATCAAAGTCCGCAGGCTTGTCCATGAAGCCGTTCTTACACTTGCCATAGAACAATTTGTGATGGTTTAAGACATCCTTGCGCAAGTCTTGAAATTGAATGCGGTGGATAGGAGCAGTGTCATGTTGACATGGGAGGCGGATGTGCAAAGCTGACACGCCAAAGACAAACGTGACAAGTCGTTTCAAGAACGCGCGAATGTAAGCTTGTTACCAGGAAAAGTGCGACGCAGCAATGTGAGGAACTCGTTCATGGTGATGCAATGACGTTCGTCATCCTTGGGGTCATCTTGTTCTTGAATGTCATTGGCGGCGTAGGCTCTGCAACAATTTTTGGCAAGTTTGACATCGTTGTAGCGGCCGTGGCTGGTTTGGTCCCTCTTCAAGCGTGACAAACGACTGCAAATCGTCAAGGTCGATCTCGTCCCGGCTCGGATCATCTAAGAAGATGCCTTCATGAATGACAGTCCAGCGATCTGGCTCTGCGCCATCCAGGGCGATGGTAGCGGCCCACGGCAAGCATCGTGATGATGATGACAACAGCTGGTGTTTTCCCAACACCTGGCCAGACAAGGAACACGAAGGCAACATTCATACTTCAAGGGACGCGCAAACTCCAACTGAGCCCCTTTGGCCTTGTTCTGCCATGATTCTGACCTTTGCTTCAGGCCAACCGGAGATTGGGGTGCCTGCACATATTCTTTGATGTTACTGTTGCAGGGGATCCAGTAGCACTGCTGATTTTCAACATCACATTCTGGTGCATTTTGTTCATATATTGGATTCCCGCCCGCAGCTCTTCATCAGCAGGAGCCACTGAGACGACTGCGACTGACAAATGCTCCTGCCCTGCTCGTTGCTGCGTTTATTGGGAATAAACCAAGTCACGTCACACGAAAGCCAGACAGCCTGTCTATCAAGCCAAAGATGGCCTTTTTGAGAGCCCATCGACCTGGTCGAAGGGCAAGCAGCAAGCGCATATAGGGGGTTGCAGTGCAGGGGCTCCTCTGGCTTTGGGACGCGCTTCTCCAAGTGCAGAGCCTTGAGAACAAGTGTTCCATCCTGTTTGTCGTAGGCGACAAAGCTGAGGTGGCGCCCGCTAGGCAACGGACGTGGAGGCAAGATGATCTTGGCAGTTTCTCTGTAATTCGCACTCTCTTACATGCAGTCGTCTATCTGGTTCAAAGGGAGCTCTGGCAGGGGCAAGTGGGCGCCGACTAGTACATTGACCGTCGTGGCCCCGACCAGCAGCAGATGTTGCAAGGGAGACACTTGAAAGGGACGTAGCAGCAGAACAGATGCCCTTTTTAAGATGATGGTCACGCAGACATGGATTGTTACGTAGATGTTCGTGCAGACAAGGTTCTTACGGATTTTGTTAATTGAGACTATGACGCATTGCTGTAATGCTTGTGACATGAACCTTAACTTGCGTACCCTGAATGCAATACGTAGAATAATGTCTCTCTCATTTTCATCGGCATGAGCAGATAATAAAAATCCGTGCGAGAATGCAGGAAGTGAGGCAGGCCCCTAATCGGAATTCATCATAATAGCCTCCACGTCTGTCTCATTCTCCACTTGCTGCAGTCTTTCGATTTCCTGCTTCAGTCGAGTAAGGGCCGCTTCTTTCTTCTGGTTGGTGGCCTTGGCCAATTTCAGTTCTTCTCGCTGAGAAGATGGCGTTGAAGTCTTTCTTGGCCTTCTCAAGCTGACTGTTCAACGCCGCCTCATTGTGAGTGGGCCTCGGAGGACTCAGACTCAGAGGATGAACCGGAAGATTTAATCTCACTGCGCGCTTCTTTTTGGCCATGGGCTGTCCATCGACTCTAGATGAACTGGAGGGTTTGTCCTTGAGGGCCAGCAACTTCTTTGGCCAGCAATTTCTCGTGTGTGAACTTAGTGGAGTCAGTTCGAACCAGTTCGACTTCCCTTGAGGCTGGGAGGCCCGCGCCTGTGCTTCTTCAGACCAGCCCCCCCTTTGACCAGCCCCCCTGTTTCCACCTGGCGGACGTGCCATGCTGAGCGCTGTCCAAAGCATTGCGTATAAGGCTTTTCTGTCCGTGGGCTGACGACTGGGATGCCCTCATTCACTGTACTCATGAGGTTTTCCGGACTGGGCCGGGGTGGCCCTTGCGCCCACAATGTCCAGCCACCGAAAAAAGGTCGTCGCGCAGACAGGAAATGAATACGAGCGCAAGTCTTGCATTAACTTGGAACGCTGAATTTTGAGGCACGTGCGGACGAAATACTCAAGCAAGACACGATGGGAGGTGTCTGAAGTAGTACTAGGAACCAAGAATCAAGACTGCGCAGAATGTCTTTGGGAACCAGATGTTCTTCCGGATCTTTAGATTTTCTTGGAACCAAAGAACCAAGATTGCGCAGAAAGTCTTGGGGATAATCTTGGTTCTTGGTTCCGAGAAAACCTTCTCGTCAGAACCCAGATTCTCCCCAAGACTTTCTGTGCAATCTTGGTTCTTGGTTCCAGGAAAGTCTTAAGATCGCTTAAGAGTTTTCAGATAGCGCTTCTTTTGTTGATCTTAAAACAGAATCTTCACGTGCAGTGCACGAGGGGGGCAAAGAGAAAAACTTTTGTAAAAACGCGAACATACATAAAGACTGTAAAACACTGTGTTTTCATAGAAGAGGTGGGTACTGGGGAGGTTACCATAAACTTACGAATTAGAAATGTACATATGTACCGAACCTGTTCGCAGGTTAGCATTGTAGAAGGTTGTGTGCCATCCAAAAAGATTGCTCTGCTCGGACGTGCGCGCGGAACTGATTGAGTTGATTGAAGCGACACCCGGATGTGCTAGTGTTGTGATTGGGGGACGCTGGATAATGGTAAAGTTGTACAGGGAGGTTTGCCATGTAACACTTGTTTCATTCTGTTTCCGCCACGTGTCTCAGGTCGTCCAAGCCGAGTTGGATTCTGGTCGGTGGGCGCTGGAAGAGTTGGCAAGAGCCATGCATTTATCCTTGCAATCGCCCGAAGGCCGCGCATGCTACGTACAGATGCCAGACGCCTTGTGTGGTTTTGTCATTGCGTAAACACAAATAAACTGATGGGCTGCTGTGGGAGAGCGCCGCAGTTGAGCTACAGCTAAAGATGCTTTGGTAGCTGGAACCATGCGTCTCTTTCAGTTAAAATTTGCACTGTGATCCTCTCTTGGATCCTGGACAGGTACTGACACAGAAGATGAGATCTTGGAGATCCTAGATGCTGCAAAAACAATTCTTGGAAGCTTGCCTGACTGTTTCTCCGTCCGCAGTGGGCTGAGGCACATTGAGATTTTAGCCTTCAGAACAAGAGTATGTATCAGGTTGAGAAGAACTCCAACACATCCGGAATGGTGACCAAATGCCGAAACTTTTGTTTGAGTCCAGTGACGAGTGTCCTTATAATGAGTCATCAGAATGTTTCCTCGCCATTGATGGTTTCTTGGCAACAATACATGTTCAAAGATGGTTCCAGTCCGGCAAAATGCATGTTTATCATTGCATTCCGCACTCCTTGTAAAGATGCTAGCTGTTAGCTAGTTTTGTTCGCTGCAGATAACCAAAGGGTCGGCAGGGCTCAGTAAGGTTTCGGGTGATGGTTTGTTGTCCATCAGAAATCCGAAACTCCAATAAAAGTGCAACTACCAACAACGCTGCATCCTTCTCACTACGCAAGTTCAACTGTAAATCTGCAGGCGGCGAACCAAACAATCTGGTGAAGAAGGGGCTGGGGGCGGTTGTGTTCTTTGGGCGGAATGCTCAGGGGGGTCGGTGTGGGGTGGTGACTCGTAGGTGAGGACATAGTGAAGAGAAAGGGATGGCGAAACAGTTGTTCTGTCTGGAGGTGTTTGGAATCATTGTTCGCAATGCAATGCAGACGAATTGTTCCAGCGCAGGGCAAAAGAATGCCACACCTGGGGAGGTCTTTCTTGTCGTAGGCTCATGGCAGCCTACATGAAGAGCAAAAGCAAACAAAAAGAACAGGATATGCAAGGCTAAACGGTGTTTTCACAGATGAGAAGAGCATCGCGTGGTGTCTCCACAGGTTGCCATGGTCATCCATGGTCAGTTGGCCCTTCAATGGAGCGACTGCTACAGCCTACGGAGGTGTCAAGTGTTACCTGCCACTGCGTTTTTTTCCTTTTGTTGCTACTTCCTGAAATGCTGCGCTGATCCGGCCCTAGAACTTGAGAAATGTGGCCAAGGAAAAGACTACTTGGCTCAAGTCTTGGCAATTCCATTGCAGGCGAGAACTGCTGACAGAGACAGATTTATTACGAGGTTTCAAACATAGCAAGTCTGTGAGAGATATGGAAAGAAGAACAAAATAGAAGAAAGGGGAGAGAGAGAGAGAATCAGAGAGAATACAGCTTGCGTTCTTCTTCTTGCGCTTGGAAAATCTGGTCCAAAGCACAGCCAAAACTGTAACAATGTATATATATATATAATAAGTTGAGGGTAGTGACGTCTACGCCGTATACGCGCCTTTTTACAAATTCTCTTTGCAAGGCCTTCTTGTTTGAAACAAGTGTGTGTGTATACTGTATATTATATAAACGCATGTTTTTCATGTTTCTAAGTTTAGTTACCGTACAAAGTTATCACATATGAATTCTATTTTAATTCTCATTTATATAAAGCTGTTCTTTGGTATTCCTTCGCGCGTGAGCTGTGCTTCTGTCGCCACAGAGAGTGGACAACAAGTCATAGCTTCCATGGAATCATTGCTGCAGGGCAGCTGGGCATGTACAGTGGCTGGTTTGGCCGCGCACAGCGGTCTGACAAGCGTCTTGAAGTGACTTGTCAGCTGTTTGGACACATTTCATCATTCTCATACTTTCTGCTTCTTGGAATGCAATATTTGGATATATATATATATTAGATTGCGTATTTCTAGACTTAGAGCAAACAAGGCCCGTCCGTCCGTTTGTAGTTCTGCACTGTCACTTGCTTCAATCTGCTGGGACTCAACCCGGAAGACCCTTTGCCATACAGCTCCTTCCCCAAAGATGCTTGGAGATGGAACACTTCCTATATCCAGTTGATTTCCATCGGCGCATCTGAGTTTTCTTGCGCGTTGAGAGTGAGGATTCTCATAGACGCGGGTGCTCCCATCAGCCAACCGCGCCTTCCAGCATCTTGCGCGCCCAGGGGTACAGACCTCAGGATCCCTTTGCCCGCAAGTGAGTTTTGACAAGGGTTCTAGATGTTAGAACACTTGACTGTAGTTATTACAGTTGCGAGTTTGCCCAGGCTACTGTCAGCCTTCGAGCTTAAATGTAAAGGGAACAACGAAGATAGGTCTACAGGTCGCAAAAAACAAAGCATGGCTATTGCAGCTTGCCAATTCCAGGTGATTACAGTCCATTGTCCTTGGCGATTGCGGGGCAACACTGGGAGTGCGTGTCTCTCTTGATTGCTTCAGGCAGCACCACTGCAGTTGCCCTTCTGAAACATATCATCTTCAAAGCAGAATCTTGCAAATCACACCGGAGAGATCCAGCGAGGATGCTGCAGCAACCTCGCGAGCTCAGGGTCATTCCACAAGTCACGTTACAGTTTTTGTTGGTGTTGATCGAAGCTAAGGGGTTCTTACGGTGCGTGTAAGGCAGGGTTCGTTTGCAGATTCCGTGGAAGGTGCTTTTTTTTGGTGAACCTTGCAGTATTTGTGCTCCTTCGTAGTCGCATGTTCTTATATACTTTTATGTTTGCTCTCAGTGTGTGCGTTCTCTCTATTTCCCTGCGCACGCTCAGCTCTCACATGTGCCTTCTCATCGGGGTTCTGCCCTCATGTGCTCATGAGCATGCTCACGAGTGTGCTCACGTGCGTGTGTGCTCTCACTGCGCTCGCGTACGGCGTACGCTGTCATGTGTGTCCTGCGCGCGCATATATGTGCTCTCATGTGTGCCCTCTCATGCGTGCGTGTGTGCTCTCATAAACGTGTCACAACCTCTGGAGTCACGAGGGATCACCCACGGACTTGACTGGTGATCCAACGAAGAGGGTCAAGTTCCGTGCTGATATCTCAGCCAGACGTACCTGCAGTTTTACCTGAGAAATTTCATCGTGGGCCCTGCTTGTAGCTAGAACAAGACGTCCAGCCTTTGCATCGGTTCATCATCGGCAGATGTGCATTGTCGCTTTGGATTTGTTGATTTGGAGTTGGAGGCCATGCAGGCTTTGAAGTGGTTGGGAACACCATACTTTTCAAAGGAAGTTTAGTGTGCAAAACTTCCGTGTTACGGACATTCAACAGCTGTTCAACCACCACTCATCATACACCACTCATCATACACCACTCATCATACACCA